AAGTAACCAGTGTAATTATATTAAACCTAAAATTTTCCTTAAGGATCCTTTATCCTTTATATTTGATTAAAATTATGTGTTCGTAAATTATGTATATTCGTATATGTATATACGTATAAATCGTACAATATCAACTAAACTCGTATCTCGGAAATATCTTTCGTTAGATGTTATTATTTACCTAGTTTGATGCATCATGATATATTAAATATAAATTTTTATATAATTTAATGTATATCTTTCTATTTGAAAAAGAAATATAATTTTGTATAATACAATTTGAAGTTGTAAGCATTTTGATATAATCATTTTCTAATTAGATATAAATCTTTTTTTCGAAAAAAATTTCAATATAATTTTACCTAATTGTACATAGAATTATTATTATTTTGATATAATTACATATAATCAGATATAAAGTTTTTACTCGAAAAAAATTTCAATATAAGTTCATATAATTTGACATGGAGTTATAAATATTTTAATTACATATAATTAGATCTAAATATTTTATCCGAAAAGAATTTCAATATAACTTTATGGAATTATAAGTATTTTGATATAATTGCATATAATTAGATATAAATTTTTTACTCGAAAAATTTAATATAATTTACCTGAAAATTTTAATATAATTTTATATAATTTGATATGGAGTTATAATATTTTGATATTAAATATTTTGAGTTAAATATTGAGTTTTAATATTTGAGTTATAGTTATATAAATATTTTGATATAATTGCATATAATTTGTAATATTAATAGATCTTATTATATATAATTATATCTAATATGATATAATTATATATAATTAGATATAAATTTTTTTCCCGAGGATTATATAATCCAGGGGATTATGTTCTCATTAGAGTTACAGTTTTAAAATCTGGAGAAGACAGGAAACTTAAAGGCTAATCTACAATGTGCTTTTTGCGTTTTGAGACAGATTCATAGTTTCATAGTCTGTTTTCATATTAAAATCATCTTAAATAAAAGTTTTAGATGCCGATACAGCATTCTTATTGGCGAGTAAAAAAATTTGCGAATAATTCGCCAAAAACTTCATCCATTTCATTTTCTTTATCTGACATGTTATTATTAAATTATGTCGTACTTTACATTCACCGCGCAATACCATTGTTATGTCGTATTTAATAAGATGTTTCTTTGTTTTCTGTCGCCCGAGATAAAACTCCAGAAGTAACAAGAAACATGAGACAAGAAACACGATGTTGATAAAATAGTACACGAAAAGGCATAAAGGTAAAAGGCAAAAAACAAGAAACAGGAAACAAAGCGCACATTGTAAATTAGCCTTAAACTTTGGATAAAATCTTTGTTTTCTGATTTTTCTAAAACATAAGATTGAAAAAAAGTAAAATAAAATTAATTTATTTAATTTAAATTAGTTAATAGTATCAAATTTTAATAAAATTAAGTTTAGGTTGTATTTTCTGAATCTTTCTTTAAAGGAAAAATGTTAATGTTGTTTATATTTAATTAATTGAAACATTCGAGTCAAATGCTATGTCAGGATGACCAAACTGTAAAGTATATAGTTTTATTTCGTATGGTCGTTGTATTCGATCTTAATCGATTGTTCGATATATCGATATGCTTATATAATTTGTCGCGCGAATTTCAATTTGAATGTCAAATGTATTTTGTGTGTTTTCTCTTTTTCCATGACAACATATCATCGTTACTGATTATTTATAAATAAATAGTAGTTGAAGGACGTGTTCTTGTATAATTATACAAAATGTTGTAATATAAAATTCATGTTTATATTTCATGATTATATTTTTCCGAATAGTGTATTAATAAATCTAAGTATTATAAATCTAAATTTGGATAAATCTACATCTATCTTCTAAATCTATCTAAATCTATCTAAATCTTCTAACAAGAATAAATTCTTAATTGAATAATAAACAAGATAATTAATCAATAATTATCTTTTAACGTTTAACTTTCGACATATGTATATAAAAAAAGTTATTTATATCAAGCGATAAATTAGAAAGCAAATAAGAGATCGTGGTAAACAAAGATCTAATTTTACAATTCGCTAATTTTACAATTTTAAATAAATCGTATATATATTTCGTATATATATAATGTGCACAACTACATGAATTCTTGCGGTAAACATGATTATCAACAAATGTAAAATCTATAACATAAAAACATTTATTAAAAACCGCTTGTTTTTTTTTGTATATATTATACAAGATAATTTACTACTATCGCAGTTTTTCTTAAGGACATATTCTTATAGAGCCGAATCTAATACGAAAATAAAAGATTGTGGTCAAGGCTATAATACTTTTTAAATCATAATTGAATAAATAACTGCATTCAGTGGAACGAGCAATCAGTGAGCGGCCAATAGTTATCTTTACAATTAGATCCAAACTCAGACTAATTACATTGACGAATTACTCAACTATTATACAATCGTTATATTTGCAATTGGTCGCTGAACGCGACCATTATGATCACGTTTAATCATTGCTAAATTCATTTTGTATGAAACTAATAGTATAAATTTCAAATTCCAAATGTACTCCTTTTTTATTTTTTGTTATACCATATCTAAGCGCACAAATTTTTCGTTACAATTGGTGAAATCGCTTATAGTTTAAAAAATATTATAATTTCAATATATTTGTATTAAGATTTTCATCTAAGATTTTCATTAAATCATTTCAAGAATACTTCTTTAAAAAGAAGTGCGATAATATCCTGTGTATATATATATATGCGCCTATTTTAAAATTATTTTTTAAACGCAAAGACTTGAAAAAGAGGAATAAGGAAAATTATGCTTAATTACTCTTAGTAAATCAAACATTAATCGTAAATTACATAAATAAAACAAATGTAGTAGAAAAAAACCTAGTGACAATATAAAAGTATATGAGCGATGTAATATTAAATATTAAATAATAATAATGTATATTTGTGTGTGTAATATAAATAATTGATTAACAAAATAAAGATGATAGAAATGAGAATGTAATGATTGTCTATTTTTTTTTCTTGATATAATTATCTCTTTCAGGAAAGAATATATAAGCAATCAAAGAAAATACTATACCATATCATTTGTATACGTATGTACAATGTCTTTCGAGAAGAATTCTGGCATCCAAACAGTGGCAGTGAAACACTCAAACTATATCATATGTCGTGCAAATACTTGAAGAAAAAGATCTTTTTGTCGATAACAACGAGTTATTAATTCTTAAAAATCACCGTATTAGCCCAGTCTACCGGCAAATGCAAGCGCGCGGTAAGATACTCCCGCCCGACGATCATCATTGATAGGCGCGTGAAATTGTTTACTTCAAGCGGCTTGTGCGTAGCTATTGCCGTTTAAAGTAAACAATTTCTCACACGCCTATCAATGATGATCGCCAGACGGGAGTATCTTACCGCGCGCTTGAATTTGCCAATGGGCCGAGCTAATATGATAATTTTTAAGAATTAATAACTCATTAATTATTGCGAAAATTGCAAAATGGTAGAGAACTTTTCGACTCAGTTTAGCCCGCTCTACACACGAAATTAGTCCTATTAGGTCTGGGACACCCTGTACACACACACACACACACACACACACACACACACACACACACACACACACACACACACACACACACACACACACACACACACACACACACACAC